TGAGGTGAAGCAGTGATGCGTTTCGGTTTGAAGGGTGGGGCAGCCGTTGTAACTATACTTGAGACCTTATATCTCTAGGTGGGTGGCGCATTTACGTTGTAGATATCTATGGCCTCCAGTAACCACTTAACATCAGGTGGGCTGTGAGATCCTCCACTCATCTAAGAAGTTCATAGTTCAGCAAAATAAAAGAATATTTATATGTTAGATTCGATCGTTTTGTATAAATTTAGACGTTTTCTCTCTCATAAATACAAGTTCGTCTGCAAGCTTCCACCTAACACGACCATTTCATCATCTCACTCTATTATTAAAGGATCTGTCAACGAATCAACAATGTAGCTCTAACAAGGTGAATCCAATATTTATGAGGCGTAAACCTTGTCTTGTAGACAGCTTCGGTTCCCTCACTAATTAAATGGATTTATTTCGTGAACTGCGTGTTCATTAAAGATACACACACTTTATAATGAGCCATTTCTCTCAAGACTGAAATGGATTAGTACTGTGTTCTTTAGTGTGAGTGGCTTTTTTTATAAATTGTAGTGTTAAAACGATTACTGCTTCACGGTAGAAATAGGCAGGGTGGTGGTACCTACCCGTGCGGACTCACAAGAGGTCCTACCACCAGTACAAGTCTATTCTGGTCGGCGTCGGTATTTACGGTAATAATATCTCTTTGTTTGTTTTGGATCACTACTGTAGATGTTGTTACCAATTGTGACTTCAGTAATAAAGAACTAATACACAGTAATGAAGACACCGTTTATTCCGTAAGATGGTACATGTGTTTACATAAAGACCGGCGCCGGCCAACTGCCGCAGTTTAATGCAATAACTGCATGCGCAAGCGCTTACGTGTCCCTACAATTTGGGTGTCTTTATTTTCTTAAAGTATGTAAAAATGTCGGCTCTTCTTCTTCTTGCTTCGGTTTCCTCAATACTGAGGGTCGTGACCACCTCCTCGCAACAGGAGTTTATTACAGACCATTCCACGCCATTTGCCTCTATCTGCCGCCGAGTGTGGAGCATCGTGAACTGTGGTGTCGAGGGTAGTGCGGATCTGGTCAGTCCAACGTGTCGGGCCTCTACCTCGTGGTCTTCTTCCGTTCACCTTGCTAGTCACCATTAGCTTCTCCAAGCTGCCTTGATCCTTTCAATCAGGAGACAAATCTTACTAAGCGACCTCTTGATGACTCTGCTTGAGGTACGAATGTCTGCGACCCGGTTGACTCCGTCGGACCCTGGATAGACAGCTACTATGCGGCCCAGTCTCCATTTAAGTGGCGGGAGATTGTCTTCCTTCACAACCAGACACTGAAGCTTCAGCGATGAATGATTGGTGCGCCATTTGGTTCTTTGCTGCAGCTCACGAATATACTCCTTTGACCATCTGGCCCAAAAATGTTATCGCATAATCTCTAACCGCTGGAACCTGGTGAGATGGCTTAGCCGGCAGTCCTTGTATTCAGCAGCAGGCATTGCAGTAAGGGGCTGGCCAATGAGAAAATACCCAGGAGTAAGCGGTATCATGTCGTCGGGATCGTTTGTTAGTGGAGTCAGTGGACGAGAATTTAATATTGTTTCGATTTGTGTTAGGACAGTGATCAGTTCCTCGTAAGTTAAATTACAACTTTCCAATACACTCTGTGCCTATGGAATTTAATAGAGTTAACACCCGCCTCCCAAAGACCCCCAAAATGAAGAAAGTTAGGTGGACACAAGTGGAAGTTAATACCTTCTTCGATCAAAGCATCAGGCAAAGAATTGCAGTTAGATTTTAAGAATGTACCGATTTGTTTATATAGCCAAAATATATTTTTCTGTTGGTACATAGTTGAATACCCTAAATGGTGTTCGAAAATTGCTATCTGTCTAGCATTCCTTTATCTAAGATTGAATTCATTAAGCGACTTATTTTTTAAACCATCAAAATATTATGTTATATGTATAATCCGGATGCTCCTTTTTGTAACTCTTTCACCCCTACCGGAAATGATCCGTTCGTTGACAGTAAATTTTTATAGAACAATATAGCCACCATGCCATTGGGCTTTGGAAAAAACACCCCTCTATGGTTTTTATCAGAGGGTCAAAGTTGTTATTCTTCTAACGACGTCCAAAAGTAGTCCTCAGTGGCTATTAATGTTTCTGATTCGCTCCTCCCAAGGTCGTATTTTTTATATCTAAGGGTGTGGTGTAGCCTCGCTAATTAAGTAGTTGTTGTCCACTGAACACGTTCCATATGGATGGCTTTTGGATACGTGCTCTGTGTACCCACAATCAAATCAAATCTTTCCTACGATTCTATTAATTAGAAATATCCAAGACCAAGAGATATTTTATTGTTTCTTTTGCTGAAATGAATGAACGCGCTCATCACCCACCTTGTGAATGTGGTTACAGCGGTCCATAGACGTCATTTCGCGAATACCACCACCCTTTCTTCAAGTACTAGATAATAATAACAATTGCATTTATTTACTCCACAACACAAATACAAATATATTTTCAATTTATCTATATATATATATATATATATATATATTTTTTTTTATTGCCCTTGTACTCTCCACAANGGCGGAGTTTAGTAGTGACACCCGGGTTCAGGTCCCCAACTGACCGGCGGGCGGCGGCGAACACCGTTTCACTGGGTCTCCCTATACCCCCGTCAAACAATCACGTCCCGCGAGCTCACACGCACGTCTGCTCCGCATGTTCCAGGTATCGCCAAGATTCACCCCCAACAAGGAAGAGGAAAGGGAAGGAATAACACTGGCTCTCCAATATATTATATAAAAATGAATTGCTGTTCGTTAGTCTCGCTAAAACTCGAGAACGGCTGGACCGATTTGGCTAATTTTGGTCTTGAATTAATTATTTATGGAACTCCAGAGAAGGTTTAAAAGGTAGATAAATATGCAAATGCTCAAAATTCAATAAAAATAACAATTTTGTTTTCCCTTTGATGTGACCCCCGTCGGACGGATTTCTTATGTTTGTTTTAAGTTTATTTTATACAAAAGTTTAGGTCTTTTATTTATCGATTAAGGCAATACGAAGTCTGCCGGGTCAGCTAGTATGATATAAAAAATTTAATTCTGAACAATATTACAATATAATATTATACTAACACAGTGGAGATAAAAAGGGTGCGGCTCAGCTTTGTGATAGCTGAAACTATCGCTGTTATTATGCCGCTGCCTATAATCATCAATACATATAAGTAGTATAAAACAAAGTCGCTCTCTCTGGCCCAATATCACTATGTATGCTTAAATCTTTAAAAATACGCAACGGATTTTAATGCGGTTTTTTTTATATATAGAGTAATTAAAGAGGAAGGTTTATATGCATAATAACGTCCATTAAATAGTGGAGAAATCAGTAATAAATTACAGTCTCCGAAGCGAAGCGAGGGCGGGTCGCTAGTAATCTATAAACTTAAATCTAATAATACCTAAATTTAAAATGATGTGGCATAATCTACAGAATCCCCGCCTCCGCACTTTGCTGTTTAAATAGAAATTCCTTATGAAAGTATTCCTTACGAAAGTATTCCTTATAAAGGATCGAAACCTCGAATTTATTTTATTAAAGATAATCTCACTTTTCCTAGCAGAAACAGGCAGATTGGGGAGATCTTTCTACGGTGAAGGAATAACATCGTGTAATAAAAATGAAACCCGCAAAATTATAATTTGCGTAATTACTGGTGGTAGTACCTCTTGTGAGTCTGCGCGGGCGGGTACCACCAGCCTCCCTATTTCTGCCGTGAAGCAGTAATACGTTTCGGTTTGAAGGGTGGGGCAGCCGTAGTAACTATACGTGAGACTTTAGAACTTATATCTCAAGGTGGGTGGCGCATTTACGTTGTGGATGTCTATGGGCTCCAGTAACCACTTAACACCAGGTGGGCTGTGAGCTCATCCAACCAACTAAGCAATAAAAAAAAGTATAGTTACAACGGCTACTCCACCCTTCAAACCGAAACGCATTACTGCTTCACTGCAGAAATAGGCGGGGTGGTGCTACCTATTGGTGCGAACTCACAAGAGATCCTACCACCAGTAAAAATGTTTAAGCATTAACTTTTAACTTTTATAAATAACGTGAAAACTCACGCACAGACACACAGATTCAATTAGATCGGATGAGTGATACACTGTGATACACAAAAATTATTGTTAAAATTAAATATGTAACGATAGATAACGAATTGTACTCTGGGAACTAATTTGTCAACAGAAAATGCCGTGAACTGTCAAACAGCGTGATATGATTAATTACGACTTTATGAACATTATTTTGTTGCATTCCAGGAATTCATTCTTGTGTAATGTCGTGTGAAAATCATCCGTACACTGTCCAAATATGTTCAATTTAATAATTTTCTTTTTTGAAGTGACATCTTTTTTAGCATCGACGAAATGTAAAACTGACACTTAAAGAGACAAAATATTCATCAATATTAATTAGACTGACAGATAATGAAATATATTAAGCTCGAATACTTATAACTTTCAATGCTACTGAGTGTGAATTGCAGACATTTTATTTATTTACATATCTAAACAAATTCATAGTTTTAGCTAACAAGTATAATATAATATACCTAGCGACCCGCCCTCGCTTCGGTTCGGAAACTTAAATTTTATTATTGATTGTTGAGTCCCGCGATGTTACCCGTGGTTATTGTCGTACCGCGGGTGACGCCGCGGGGCAAAGCTAGTCATAAAAAAAGTAGCCTAAGTTACTCCTTGTATCACCAGCTACCTATCAGTGAAAGTCCCATCAAAATCGGTCCAGCCGTTGCAGAGATTAGCCGGAACAAACAGACAGACAGACAAAAATTATAAAAAATGTTATTTAGGTGTACGTAACGTATATATATATTCATATGCATGTAGTAAAAACCGGTTATTTCAATATTACAAACAGACACTCCAATTTTATTTATATGTATAGATTAATTAAAATGCCCTTTTCGTTTGTTCCAGGTGATAAGAAAAAGTCGTGGATATGAAATGGGCATTCAAGTATGCGTTATTTGGTTGCTTGTGCTCATGACCATCGCCCCGACCGGAAGCGATTGGCTGACCTGCGGCAATATACCAGGATGCAACTGCAAATGGTCCTCGGGAAAGAAAACGGCATCATGCTCCTCGCTGGGATTAAAAACACCTCCAGAATTGGAATCGGACATTCAAGTTCTTGACTTGCACGGGAATCCACTAGAAACATTAGGAAAAGATGCTTTCCTGAGAGTGAATATGATAAACCTACAAAAGGTCAATCTGAGCTCGACATGTTTACGGACACTGCATTCAAACGCATTCAATCACCTTCGGATATTAATTGAATTAGATCTATCCCAGAACGAACTGTCTCAGCTATCCCCTGACCTATTCAAGGCCACAGAACGTTTGAGAGTCCTAATACTTAACGATAACCCTCTAACGACGCTCGTCGCCGAGCAATTTCCTCCGTTGAGATATTTGAAGAAACTTGAAATTTCACGTTGTAAACTTCGCTCAGTGAGCTCGTTCGCTTTCACGAATTTAAGAGCATTGGAATCGGTCAATATCCAACAAAATTATCTAACGCACCTGCATCAAAGTACTTTCAATCTACCCCTCATGAATACTCTCTCCCTGTCGGATAATCCTTGGCATTGTGATTGTGGACTGCGCGAATTCCACGACTGGTTCGTGAGTAGTAATTTGGGTAATGAAGAAGTTTTATGTCTCGGTCCGGAAAGTAAAGCAAATCTTTCATGGAGTGCTCTGAAGCGTGAAGATTTCTTCTGTTCACCATCTGTACTTACTTCACCTACCGTCATAAGAACTGAAGTGGGAGCAGACATCAGCTTTGGGTGTTTTGTTCGCGGTGATCCCAAGCCCGTGGTAACTTGGTCACTTAATCGTGCTGATGTGTTTAACAACATTGAAAACGGTGAAATCACTATTCATAGATACGATATAGACAATTTTAATGAGTACACGGACTATTACTTAAACAAAAGTTCACAGTGGGTTAACATAAGTATAAGTAATATTACCAACGATTTAGCCGGTGAATGGAAGTGTAGTGCCAAAAGTTCTGTAGGAGATGCTTCAACCTACTTGACTATTCTTTTACCTAAAGCTAGAACAGCTAGAACAGCGACCGCTAGGGTAGTACCCGACTATTCTGCTTTTTTCCTGATCGCGGGGTCCATGTTAGCTATGACAGCAGCAGGATTTGTATCAGCGTATATCTGCTGGAAGACTAGACGCCGAAGAATCCCACCTAGCAGAAGTTTCACGGACCAAGAGAAGAAGCTTTTAGATTCCTCATTGGCTGCAAGCTGTGACAGAGCAAGTGGAGATATGAGCTTGTCTTATGGATTTGAAATGTTAGATAGATCCATGTCTTTGGACAGCGAAGACAATAGATGCTTAGAACCGGTCCAAATTACAGTAGAAGGTCCGCCGGGGTCCTTCCCTCCCCCGCCTGCGGAGTTCGCCTTGCCGGCACCATATGGGAATATTTTTATATCAGTCCAAGTTTCTGGTCACAACGATGAATACCCTGATTTATTGGGTGGTGGAACAACATTACCTAGGCGGAATACGACATGTTTCTTGAAATCTACTTACGATAATATGGGTCCTAGGATTACGGCAGCCGGTAGTTCGACGTGGTCTTTGCCGGGTGCTAATGACAAAAATACTGTCAAAGAGAATCTCTTGACGACGCCTCTGTCGAACTTTTCTACTGAATTTACCGCTTTGTAAATTACGATACTTATAAGTTTTCATAGGGATTTTTCAAAGTTCTAATAATTTAGTTTCGTAAAGGTATCGTCTGATAAACATGGAATTTATAGTTTAATCCTTAAATATGCATTAACAAGACGTGGCGTGTGCCACACTGGAGGGCCGATATCTGATTTAAGGCAGCTTTTTGGAGACGTGCCCATTTCTGTTTATGTGAATGGTGTTAACTAATTTGAATGATTTTTACATCGATTGCTCGTCTACCTCTGTTTCCATAGACTCGCAAACAAGCAAGGCACCATTGAGCAAGACACTAACAGCTTAAATAAATAAATACTTATACCGTTCAGAAATACTGAAATTACGAAGGGACTACTTTTATTAGCGTATAATTTTAATCTGCGACCTTTTTTAAAAGTGATATATAGGATAAGCAGTGCCTTCCTGATGGATTCTTGAATATCATAACTCAGTCTGATTTTTCTTTCAGCTCTGCTGTTGAGGTATAAATAAATAATAAAATATAATGCTGATTGTGTCTGCTGGAGAAAGAGTTGCGTATGATAAAATTTAAAGTACATATCAAATTTAGTCATATTAAAATAGATATTTCCATTTTTAGGAGGTTTTGTAAAATATGCTTTGGATAGTTTGGTTTATTTTGGTTTAGTTTATTCTGTAATACTCATGTGTGTAGACGTATAATTTGAAATACCTATAAAATAGATAGCTTAATCTAATTATGGTACAGGTCAACAATCTTTGGATACAAAGCTTTACTATTCTTAAGTCAAAAATGGCTTTATTTTAATAGTGATTTCGTTAATAATTCATTGTTCTTATGCACAATTCCAGTCTTTACTATCATTAATAACCTGTCGAAGGACGATGTTGTTTGGTCAGATCGATTGAAAACCTACAACAAGTTCTGATTAAGCTAAATTCAACTTTGTACAGCGAATTAGTAGGTATAGTTTTGCCTGTAGTAAATTTGTCTTATACTATAATTGGATTTAGTTCGGATATATCATGTCAATGATTAAATTATGAATTTCGGTTTGTTCATAAAATGTTTTCTATTCTTTAAGCTACGTCACTTTACAAAAAATTGCCATAGTCTAGGTATTTGTATATAAATAAAATTTCGAAAAAAAATATGCTTTTTAAAAGAGTGATAATAAATTGAGTGCAATGATTTAATGAGTTTGTTTTATTTAAGAGCTAATCCTGATCACTTCAAAGACAACCTAACTGACTTAGTAACTGTACAGTGATAGACGAAGGCGAATAAAAGAATGAATAAGTGAAACTCACCCTCACCTCGAGACAAGTAGAGTAGATGTGAGAGAAGATTGAAGAGATAAACGGTAGATAGAAAAATATTACCTACCCGTGCGAGTGCATAATATGCCCTAAAGTCGCTTAAAGTAGGAAATAAGCAACGGGTAGCAATAATTTAGAATAGAGAATAAAGAGAAGAGATCATAAAGAAGATGATACTACTGCTACTTATTTATTTATTGCTTAGAAGTATGGACGGTGTCACAGCCTACCTGGTGTTAAGTGGTTACTGGAGCCCATAAACATCTACAACATAAATGCGCCACCCACCTTGAGATATAAGTTTGAAGGTCTCAAGTATAGTTACAACGGCTAACCCACCGTTCAAACCGAAACGCATTACTGCTTCACGACAGAAATAGGCAGGGTGGTGGTACCTACCCGTGCGGACTCATAAGAGGTCCTACCACCAGTAAATCACCTCATGATGTCTGCTCTGTGGGCTTAGTGCGAGTTTTGTAACGTTCTCGATCGCGTAAAAGCTAACTCAAATTCGTTTTTACGTTTGCCTACGTTTGCCGCTAAGGGCGCTGTTCCAACTGCCTACAAAACTTGAGTTAACTTTTAATAGACTCATGCATCCGACGAAAGACACTAAAGATTACTCACCACCAGGCGGGCCGTATCTCGTCTCCCTGCACGGACAATAAAAAAAAGAAGTGAAAATAAATATCATTCGTTTCAAAACTATAACGTCAAGTGCAACAGCAGAAAATGCATCTATCTTAAAATTTGGAAAATGGAGCGTATATTGTGTCATACGAAACTCGCGTAGTGCGATCAGATATCTCGTGTGACGACTCGCTGTAGTAGCTAGAAAAGCTTTCTTGCATTGTCTAATGAATTGTGAAAGTTTCATTTGTGCACTTTCAAGTATTCTAGTAAACCAATTGAAGCTTCTATCGTTACGTACATGGTAATGGAATTCAAAATAAACCTGAATAATGGTTGGTGTTGGCTTGGTGGCTTTTTGGCTAGTAACTCTTAGTCTTGTACATTAGTGTCTCAATTCGATTCCCGATCAAAATTGATTTATTTATTAAGGATATTTCTTTATTAAGGACTAGGTGACCCGGCGAACTTTGTTCCGCCGTAGGGGCAAAAAATGAGCAGCAATAAATGATGATTAAAAAAGCAAGTATTTTAATGATTTATGATTCAATTTTTTGGCCATGCATTTTAGTTGTTATTATTATTATAATATAAATATACACAATTAGCTAATAGAAACTCGAAATAAACACATCAACTGGTCAACTTCAAAATTCTACTATAATTAACCATAGCATATATTACGTTTAGCTGTCAGTTGCGTTTTGTTATTCCATATCAGTTGCGTTTTGTTATACCACGTTTTATGTCGCGTCCCACGGGAACGTGATAAACAGTATCCCATGTCCTTGTCCTGGTTCTAAGTTACCTCCCCATCAATTTTCAGCCAAATCAGTTCAGCCGTTCTTGAGTTATAAATGAGTCGACTATTATCAAAGCCGGCAATGTGACTTTTGGACAATTATTGGTAAATCAGAAAAACGAATTATTGACTTTGTATTCCATTAGCAGTCACAAAACTCTTCTGAACGACATCTTAGATAAATAACAGGTTAAGTATTAACCTTTATTATTAATGCAGGTTTTGAACCGTATTCTTTGAAGGAGACGATTATATGCAAATCAATCTGTATTGACATATCAATAACATTTTTTTGTCCAAATGCACAGATTGCCACCTTTGATAATAGACGACTCATATATAAGATATTAGCATCGAGGTCCGGTTGAGCATGTACCAGTTTTGACGAAGAAAACTAAATTCCGGCGTGCAACTCCATCTATAAATTAAATTAAAATCAACTCGAATAAGACTTTTGATCACAACAAAGCGTCTGGTTAAATAAATAAATAAAAATCTTAATGGAATTTCTACGAAATTGCACGTTCGATTTCTAGATAAAATCGAGTAACTTTTGTTGCGACTAGTTTCTGTCGTACGGACTTGTGACACCCCTACTAATTGTCCTTAATTATTTTTGATGAACTGTAAATAAATTAGTGAGTCCAGCTCGCGCTCCGAGGTGACTATTGCTAGTTCTTCAATGGTGGTAGGACCTCTTGTGAGTCCGCACGGGTAGGTACCACCACCCTGCCTATTTCTGCCGTGAAACAGAAATGCATTTCGGTTTGAAGGGCGGGGCAGCCGTTGTAACTATACTTGATACCTTAGAACTTATATCTCAAGGTGGATGGCGCATTTACGTTGTAGATGTCTATGGGCTCCAGTAACCACTTAACACCAGGTGGGCTGAGAGCTCGTCCATCCATCTAAGCAAAAAAAAAAAGTTGTTTAAGAAATATTGACTTCTTGAAACTACTTGTGCGCCAACTATTGTTCGTTAATGATAAAAAAATCCCTATTTATTCGCTGGGAGCCTAAGATAGGTAAGCTCGCGGTTTCAACTTGAGAGAGTTTGCTAACACTGGTCTTAGCAAGAGCAGTGCTTCGCAGAATCTACCACCAAATAAAAAAAAAACTATTACTTTAGTCGAAGAACAAACACCCGTAAATGTAACAAAACTTTTTGACGACATTAAAAAACCTGTCCATTCTGAAGGAGCTCGGTATTGCCACAAGGCTGTCCGCTATCTGCTTCCAACGTATTCTCGCGTACTTCGACCACATCGCTCGTAGAGGCCCCGATAACTTGGAGAAGCTGATGGTAGTTGGTCAGGTTGACGGGAGAAGATCACGCGGACGCTCACCTATCGGTCTGATCTGGTTAAGACGCTCACCGGCCTGCCAATAACCGAGGCTATAAAGACCGCCGAGGACAGGAAGAGGTGGGAAAGCATTGTGCATCGAGTGGTCCACATTTTAGATTAGACACGACCTTCGGTAATGAAGAGACCGACTCAGAAGAAGAAAAAAAACTAACAATTTTAAACTGAGCATCAATACGAAAAAATGAAGGTGCGTTTTTCTCGATCGAAGCGACACCGTCAAATGGCACAAACAAATAGTAGAGGTGACGATTGTACGAACTGAAATCAAACAGTAATCTCTTCCCCGTTCGTAAAATGGAAGTGAAATAGAAAATAAGCGATAAGGGAAATCCGGAAATGTTTTGTACATGCGAATCATATCATAGTTATTTTATTTTCTTACTAAAACATTTAAAAGTCATCATAGCGCGAACGCAACGTTTATTTAAATCACAAATACAAGATGATTTTTTTTATTGCTTAAGTAGGTGGACGAGCTCACGGCCCACCCGGTGTTAAGTGGTTACCGGAGCTCATAGACATCTACAACGTAAATGCCGCCACCTACCTTGAGATATGAGTTCTAAAGTTCTCAGTATAGTTACAACGGCTGCCTCACCCTTCAAACCGTAACGCATTACTGCTGCACGGCAGAAATAGGCAGGGTGGTGGTACCTACCCGCGCGGACTCTCAAGAGGTCCTACCACCAGTATTGTGGTTTTCTTCATTTTTCATCATTAAATCAAATTTCTCTTTTAATAGGGAATGCTATGTATGTACCACCAGTAAAACCACGTAAGTCAACAACTGCTTAAGTCGGTATTCAAGAGAATTCATGGCTAAGCTACCCCCACTCTTCTACTATAAATACGAGTGACTGTTTTCGGTGCTTGCGACGAAGGGATCGGCGAGTAAATTAACCCACAGACACAGTCCACTGAGTTTCTCACCGAATCTTCTCAGTGGGTCGCGTTTCCGATCCGGCGGTAGATTCTGCAAAGCACTGCTCTTGCTAGGGTCAGTATTAGCAACATCGTCAGGTTTGAGCCCCGTGAGCTCACCTACTTATTAGGGTTACGCTGAAATGGCCTCTCAAGGCCACCAGCTTAGGTAGGAAAAAAAAGCATTTCGGCTCAAGCAGTCGAATGGAGTGGAGCTCTCTGTAGTTATCGTTATTCTATCTTTTTTATGTAACCCTAACGAATCTGTAGCGAGTAAAACGTTACACTCAACGCGCCTAAAAAAATTTTACTTCAGTTAACCGAAAATATTTGTTAAATAATATTCTTAAAGATTTACATTAAATAAAATTGGCATCTTAAAACTTCACCGTAACATAGTAATTTCTTTAATATTTTCAACAGTTTCCCTTGATTTTATTTAAATAAAAAAAAGTCCCATATTCATAATAAATACAGCGTCGATCCCGGATACTGCGGAAATACTCAAAGGACCCGACCACGTTCGACAAATTTATTCTTTCGCCTCGATCCCTATCGCCAACACGACATAATTTCTCTGTACAACATCTGGTTTACATCGCCGCGAAGCTAAAATCGTATCACTGACGTTTCAATTTGTATAAAATAATGGACGGAGTTGCGAGTCTTTGTGCGTCCGAGGTGCCGGTCGTGGTGCGCATGTAAACGAATACCAAGAATGTGCCGGTGCTGGAAGCGACTCTTGTAGTGGGAGAAAGAGAAAGGAGTGTAGTGGGAGAAAGAGAGGGGGGTGAAGTGAGATTAAAAGATATATTTGATGAAGATGCTACAGTAATTGCGGACCAACATTTTTTGATACGTCTCGTAGAAACTTCTTATAATATTGTTACGCCGGTAAGAGTAACGCCACCTATCGCCGAATAGTCGAACGAATATCGAAGGATCCAGAATGCTCGAGAATTAGAACGCCATCTATTGACAGATAGCGGAAACTACGACTAGAGTTGTGTGGAACATTCTCGATAATTCTAGGGATGAGGTATCGGCTATAAAAGCGTGACAGAGATGGCACGCAGTCAGTCAGTAATCGGAACTACTC